ACTGCCCCCCCCCCGCCCCCGACCACGCGGGACGGTGACCTGGCTGCCGCATCGGGGCTCACCCCCGTGCTCCCGCCCTCCCCCGCAGCTGCAATTCCGAGGTCAAGTACGCCTCGGAGAAGCACTTCCGGGACAAGGTCTTCTACGCGCCGGTGCCCACGGTCACGGCCTACAGCGAGACGATCGTGGCCGCGCCTAACTGCACTTGGCGCAGCTACCGCAGCCAGCTGACCCTGGAGCCGCGGCCGCGCGCCCTGCGCTTCCGCAGCACCACCATCATCTTCCCCAAGCGCGCCCGCAGCTCCTTCCGCACCACCCTGCACCTCAGCCTGGGCCGGCCCCGCCGCTGGTTCACGGCCAGCGTGCAGCTGCAGCTGTGCCCGCGCCCCGGGCCCGGCCTGCTGGGCCCCGCGCCTCTCTGACCGGCAGCCCGGCCCCCGCGGCGGCCGGAGCACGGGCTCCACGATCGGGAGGGACCCGGGGCTGTGTCTTGCCGGCACCGCAGCCGCTTTCTCAGCACCTACCCGGTGAGGCAGCGTGGGCCTGGCTTTCCCGAGGAGCCCGGGGCGGGGGCAGGTGGGTAGGCGGTGCCCGCCCGAACGGCCTGGGAGAGAAGGTTTGTTGGCCCTGGCCGCCCTTGAAGCGGTGGCCGCCCTTGAAGCGGTGGCCACCCCGAACGCCGGCAGGACTGAGGCGTCCGTCCCAGCCTTGGCCGGGGGGGCCCCCCACCAGCCTCGGCTCCCAGGCCACGTGGGAGGGGAGAAGGGGTGCCATCCAGACACCCGCCGCCCCTGGACAGCGCTGTTTCCAGAGCAGGCCTTGCAGATGTGTGCAGCTGGACGCCCAGAGCCATAGCCCAGCAACCTCTGGTGGACAGTGAGCCGGGAGGCTGGGCGAAAGCCGGCAACGCTGCAGGGCCGGTTGTGGGTTGTGTGTGGGGAGCGGCCTGGAGGAGCCCTGCCCGCGCTGTCCCAGTGCCCGTGCCCCAGTGCGGAGGATGGAGGGCATAGCCCGTCAGCACCGAGGCCTTTGAGCTCTGTGTCCGGAGCCTCACCCGCAGGGCATCCTGCTAACCTCTGTCCTGACACCTTCAGGACCAGGATTCTGGACCGTCAGAGCCCTTGAGCCAGGTGCCAAGGGGAGGCGTCTAAGCCGTTGGAAATGACCACTGCCACCTGCCCGAGGCTCCCGGCCGGCTGTCAGCTTTCAGATTCCGTGGGGTCCAGCTGCCCTCGTTCAGGCCTCCCGTTCCTACAGTGATGACGCTGCAGTGGCCAGTGCAGCAGGGTTCACCGCACACGTGCAAGGTCAGGGGAGGAAGACGGGAGACCCTGTGCTCCCTGGGAAGAGCCAGGTTACGTGGGTGCTGGGGCCACGGCCTGGGGCTGCCCGCCACCAATGCCCCAGAAGCCCCCAGCGTGGCCATGAAGATGCCTTCAGACCTGATTGGACCCAGCAGGTGGAGGCTGCCCCGCCGCTCCTCTGGCATCCCCCCAAGACGGGGCTTTAGCTCCCTCGCTGCGGGGAGGGGCGGCTCAGAGCTAGCGTTCAGGAGAGGCGAAGTGACTGATATATTCTTATACATCTACAGACTGTGCATGTTCTCGCCACAGAGATGCTTTCTGATTAACAAAGAAATAACTTAAGAATCGATTGATTATCTTAATAAAAATGTGCAGACTCGAAGGGACTCCCTCTTCCATGTTTCTGAGACCCTCAGACCCCACCGTGGGTGGGACTGGTCTTCATAGGCCCATGGTCCCTCCCCACTGCGCACAGGGGACAGGGAGACACTTGGAAGGCTCAGAGAGAGCCCTGTGCCCCTCACCCGATCCCTGTAGACAGCCTGAGTGCGCCAGCCCCACCCAGGAGCTAGGTAATAAATGCAGGGGCCCAGGGCCCACGCTGGGACTTGGGTCTGACTCCGGGGAGGGTCCCGGGAATCTGCATGTTTGATGCTCCTGTGCTTTGCACTCCGCACGCCAGCCCTCGGCACATGCAGACACCCAAAGCCAGATCTGTCCCCGGAGAAGGGCCCGAGCTGCCTCTGCAAAGCAGGTGGCCTCGGCCTTGTTACACCCTCTGCGCATCTGGTCCACGTTGTTGGAGGGGGCTCTGGGGCCCCAGACTGTGAGTGAGGTGGACACTCGGGGCAGTGTCCTTGAGTGGGAGAGTGCCGGTGTCTTTGCAGGGACTCCTGCCTCGATGGAGGACGATGTCTAACAGGGCGGGGCCAGGGTGAAAGCCAGGAGGGCAGGGCCAAAGGACAGGGTCATGTCACTGAAAGGAAGAACCTGGAGGCCTCCGCCACTCAGTACGGACAGGCGGGGTGCAAACACAGCCTTGGGAACTCCGAGAGCACAGCCTGTGTAGAGAGGGGATTCTGTGCAGACACACACTGGGGGGGCACATCGCTGGCACCAGGCAAATTCAGCTGCACGAGTTTGCTTTCCAATCACAGCCCTGATTTCCCCACTTGGAAAGAAAAGTGGGTTGGGCTTCCTGACACGTGCAATTATGGTGCCAACGAATCCGGTGACCTTGGAGATGTCTCTGGGATTGCCCTTCAAGAAACAACTTCTGAGGCGTGCGGTTAGCGGATGGCCTCTTAACTAGAGCTTTCCAGCAGCTGCCAGGCTCCTCCCGGGCACCCTGCCAATGGGAGTGCGGTGGGACAGGACCAGTTGACCGAGGCTCAATCCCTGCCAGGTCCTGCTTCCTGTCCCTTTTGTCTTTCACAAGCATCACCCTGATAGGCCTCATACCCTCCTGACTCCATCTCAGCATCTCCCTGAGGACCCGGGCCGCACGTGTGGAACAAGACCGTCTCCTTTGATCATGCAGACGGCTTCCGCCTACCCTGATGACCTTGGAACTCCAGCCTGGGAGGAAGAGGACGTGGGGTGCAAGGGCTGCGGCCCGTCAGGCCCCCAAGTGCACCCCGGTTTCCCTCTGAAGCAGCCGTCTGTCCTACGGGAACCCAGAGGACTTGGAGACCCAGCAGAAAGAGGTGCCAGCTTCGTCTAGGTCCTGTCCCAGCCCTGGGGATTTCTACCCCCAAAATAAAGAGCCTGGAGGCCAGTGACCCCGCTGCCCGGCTTAGGGTGCTGCCTGCAGAAGGCCCTTCTGTCCTCTGCCCTTCCTCCACACTCCCCAGATCCAGATGCACTGGGCAAGGCGGGCAGAGGTCACTCACTGAAGCCCCCTGGGAGGGGAAGACCAACACGGGCAGGCAGGGCCCGGTGGCTGGAGAAGCCTGTCGCTTAACTTCTCTAAGCATCTGCAAGGCAGGCACATGGCCTTACCTGCCTGGCGGCTGGGACAGTGAGAATCCGTGCTGGTAAAGCTTGGGCTGCCATCGAATCAAGCCGGGACCCTGCTGGGGGCGGGTCAGGGCGTCCATCTCTCTCGAAGGGGCAGAAACACTTCCCAGTGTCGAGGGCCGGCTTTGGCCCCAAACACCCATCCTGAGCCGCCTCGCTCAGCCTCTTCTGCTGTTGCCCCGGCCAATCTCTGGGTTCATCTCTGGGTTCACACTCGCAGGCCTCCAATCAAGCTCGGCGGCCCCTGCCCCACAAACAGATGCCCCGTCCGTCCGAGGTCTCGTCTCTCCTCCCCAGAGTAGCCTTGGTGAGGACAAACAACAGCCCTGGCGGCCGACACGTACACGGAGCGCTGCCTCTGTCTGCAGACTGCTTGGCCCTGCTGTCAGAACTTTCTGCATTTAATCTTCCCAGTAAGCCTGTGAGGTAGCTGGTGAGACATTCTGATGCGGAAGCGTGACCTGGCTGAACCCCGGAGGAGGTGGGCTGGAAGGACAGCCCGTCACATGGCTGCCACAGCTAAACCCTCCCGGCTTCCTGGAGAAGCCACGAAAACACATGCGTCTCCTTTGATGGCCCTCAGCTGCCAGCGATCAAATCAGTTTATCCCCGTAAATGTGCAAATTAAGATTCACTGTTGGCGGACCACCTGGAGTTTTTTTCTCTTCTCTCTCCTTTCCTCGCAAACCCATTCTTTCTTGCCTTGTCCCACTGACTCCTGCACAGGTGAGTAAATTGTGTCTCTACAGAGCTACACAGCCCATCTCTGAGGTACTCCTCACAGCAATATCATTATCCCATTTCACAGATGGGGAAACAGAGGCACAGAGGGTTCAAATGGCTTGGCCAGGGTCACATGGCCATTACGTGGCAGCCGGCTCCACAGTCTGTCTTTACTCACGTGCTGCACACGCCCTCTCGCCTGCCCCATACGTGGCCTGGCCCCATCCCCACTCCCCGAGGCAGTGGGGCTCTGTCCTGGTCTTCTCTGCCGTGCCAACCCCCATGCTGGCCCTGCACTAGCCTCCTGGCCTGCTTCTCCCTCTATACACCCAGCACCCTTGCAAGCCAACAAGACCCAATTTCAGAAAACCAGCAAATCACCTTACTGGGCATTGACTGTTCCGTCTCAGAAATTCCAGGGCCTCCACACTGCCTTCTGTCTAAGCCACCCTGGGCTCCTGAATGCCCCCGGCTGGGTTTCACCTCCCAGCCTTTACCCACACAGGTTCTTTCCACTCAGCCCATCCCCTCCCCAAGAACCACCACCTCCAGGAAGCCACCCCGACTGCTCCAGGTCAGTTGTCACAGTGTCTGTGTCACCTGGCCCGAGGTGGGCTTGTCCTGAGCCAACCCTAGTGCTGTAGGGACCAGCCTGTTCCTGCCCCTGCTGTGGGCGGCAGCTCTTCGGGTTGGTGGGCCAGGACTCCCTCTGCAGAGCCGCTTGTGCCCTTACTGGAGAACTCCTGACCAGAAAGAAGTGAAGGGACCAGGTTCTAGCTCTGACCTTGGGCACCACCCTCACCATCATAGTGAGGGCTGCAAGTCACCGGCATCAGAAACACCTGGGCTGCTGGATGAAAACACAGATTCCCAGCCCCAACCCTGGACCTAGAGAATCATTCCTATCCTCTGGGCGGGGCCCAGGAATCTGCACTCTAACCAACGTCACAGTGTTCTAAGATGCTGGGAAGTTAGCCAGCAAGTGTCCTGCGCTTTGCAGATCACGTTCTCATTTTCTATGGAATCGGATCCTCACAGCATCAGTTCAGCTCAACAGTCGCTAGGGGCTCAGTCAACAACAGAGTCAGGAAGAGAAAGGCAAGAGCTTTGCTCTCGAGGGGTTCTGTCCAGTAGCTTGCAGGGTGTTAGCAAAGACCCAGAGGAGAGAGAAGATGGGGAGGGATAATGCGTTCTTAGAGGAGGGAATGACCCAGCTGGGTTTTGAAGTATGTGTAGGAGTTTTCCAGAGAGATGGGGATCAGGGAACAGCAGGGGCCTCCATTTTAAGATGGAGCAGTAAGAAAACCAAACAAGATGGGGGTGGGATGAACCCTTTGGTGGGGGGGGGGGGCTGAGGACTGGCGGGGGGGGGGGGGGGGAGAGGGGGGGTTTTTT